GATTTGATCATGTTCATCTTCGGTAGCACCGCGTTTCTCTGTCGTCGGTGACTCCGTCCAGCGTCCATCGCTGCCCACTGCTGTTCTAGGCTCTCTCTCCAAGGACTTGCTGCTGCTGTCCCTCTGCACAACCCGGTGGGTGAGTTCATCTAGTCCCCTGCCTTTACTTTTCGTCTACATGCTGGCAACTCCTGCTATGAATAGATAACCGTTGGGGTGTTTTGGGCAACAAAAAAGAGAATTCAACTCCACTGGTTTTATCAACAAGAAAGGGAATTAAGTGAATTATGTAACAGAAAGTAGTGTTGAAACACATTTCGAGGCCCAAGATGAAGCCACTCCTGCCTCGGTGCCACGTCAGCAAACCAAAACTTAGATAACTTTCAGGTTCTTATAAATGCTGGCTTGACCAGAAGCATAGTATGTCCGGCCAGCCAATCCCCAACTGCCACGAATCTGTAATGATCTCCTTGTTCTCTGATACAGAACCTCAGCCAATCAACTTAAGCCAAACGGTGTTTCCTTACTCCCTGACTGAGCTGCCCGCCTTATGAGGAAATCCACAGCTCTGTAAAACGTGCTCTCTCTCTGCCCGGTCATCCCTCCGGAAGACTGCTCTGCCCCGCTGCTGTGCGCTCCCCCGGCCCATGGGCTGTTTTCCCTTGAGGACAGGGTATCAGACTCATTGCAAAATTGTTTTATTTTTGTCTTTTGATGGTAGAGAGGAGGGGTGATGTTCAGGCATGGTTCAAACAGTCCCCTGGCTATTCTCCTGTGAGTCTCTTACTCTGCCCTCCTCTGTTTGACTTCATTCCACACGATGATGCTGAGAAGAGAGAGTGCCATGGATTGAGGAAGCTTCTTTCCCAGAAATCTCCAGCAAACCTTTTCTTGCTTTCTATTTATCCCAAACTGGTCACACCCCCACATGCCCATTCTTGAACCCCATCCTGTGGCTGAGGGAATATTACGAATTGATTGGCTTAGGCAGGCTAATCACTCAATCTATGATTAGTAACCACTGAGTAGTCTTGATCTAGAACCACCTCCTAAGATAAGGTAACTCCCTATACTACATGGCTAACACAAAATAAAGGAGGAATGAAATAAGTATGTCAAGGCAATCACAACATGCGTCAGATCTATCTTATTCAGTGCCCCGGCCGGCGGGGAGTTCCACAAGGGCTCCAGGGGAAGTTAACCTGGATGAGAGACAAACCAGACACAAAGAAGGAGACCAAGTCGAAAGTCTGATCAAGGTCTCAAGGTTTATTCTTACAAGGTAGATTATATAGGAGCTAGGAGGGGGAAACAGCTCCAGCTGAAGTGGCAAGGGTTATCTAGGTTGCTAGGATACCTAACTGAAGAATGTTCTCTGGAAAAGATCATGGGTGGGGGATTACTGAGAAAAGACAGAATGTTTTACTAAGGAGGAGATGTTATCACGGCAGCTGCTTAATATCTATCCCAGCAGTCTAATCGCAAACTGGGTCAATTGATCTTTCCTAAACGGGGCAGGCTTGAGAAACTAGAGACCTAGGCGAAAAGGGCGAGACCATTGTTTCTATGGCCTATGGCTCCCGACAATTCAGTGGAAACACATTCAAAAAAGGCACTCAAGCCTCCACCTGTACCCTTTACATTTACCCCTTAACAGCTAGAGTTCTTGCTTTTCATTCTTGATACAGTTAGACCAAGTTATCTGAGAGGCTTGTTTGTAGATTCTGCAGGCCCTAAAATCTGCAGGAAGTCATTGTAAAAAGAGTTCTAAGAACTATGACATGAGGGCTTACACACCTTTGACCTTTCAAACAATTGGGTAGAAATAACTAGGACTTTGTTATTTTTACTTTGTTATGTAATCCGTTCTTTTCTTTAAAGAAAAACAGCTGTGACAACTTCTTTTGACTATCTAGAAGAATGAAGACAGTTAAAGCTGAGCACCTCATAATACTGGAGCAGTGACCTGAATTTTCCTAGTCTTGAAAAATCAGGTAAGCAATGGAAAGCCCTAGATGGACAAAACTCAACAAATAAAGGGGACCAGTAACTCCTACCCATATCTGCTCTGTCAAGTTTTTCATGATCTTCCAAGGTCTAATTGGCTACCAGAGCAGCAGAGGGTTCTTCCAAAAAATTACTGTATTCGTATGTAAATGCACATATTATCACTGCTATTCAATCTAGTCTTTAAAAGCAAACCAGCATAATTTCCAAATCTGTAGTCCTAAACCTATATTTTCCATAGACACTTCAAAATCCACGTCAAAAATTTAAGCCTTTCCCCTGCATGTCCTGTCCTTCCTTAAAACACACCTCTGACACTGCCCAAAGTTCTCCAAAGCCTAAATTGTTTAACATAGCACAGGTCATCAAGCCCCATTTTAGCTTTCTAGGTCAGGACAGGGCAAACCACCAACCAGTCAAATGCAGTCCACTGCCTGTTTCTGTAGTCCGCAGTGTAAGATTTGTGTAGTCTCTTAAATGCTTAAAAAAAAAAAAAATCAAGTTCATGACAATGAAAACTGTATGCAATTCAAACTTTAGTGACCATAACATTTTTTTATTGAAACACAGCCCCACCTATTTATATTGTCTGTCTATAGCTGCTTTTGAGATACAAGTTGAGTATCTGTGACCAGGATGGTATAGCCTCCAAACCTAAAATACTTACTATCTGGCCCTTTATAGAAAAGGTTTGCTCTACACTCATCTGTAGCCACCCTAAACTATTTGCTTCTCTAACAGACTCCACTTCTCTGCCTGCTCGCTGCCCCCCAGGGGTGCTCCCATAGAACTAACTCCATTTTAGCATAGAAGAGCTATTCTCATTGTCCCTTTACTTGTCGGGTGGACGTGTTCACCAGTGAATCCTCAGCAACCAACATGATCCAAGCCCTTCTTCAGGGTTTGATAAATGTGTATTGATTGAAGGAGAACTCTGACATGAACAAGACCGGGTTCCAACTTTCAAGAGCTTACAAAAGCAAGATAGACATACACACAACAAATGGATCTATGAAGAGTGAAAAGGCATAAAAAGTAGCAAGTATTGAGATATGTAGAAAAAAAATGGAGACCAGTCCAACCCCACATTCGTAAGTCCTGACAAAATGCCTTGTGACCCAACCCACCGGCTCTGTAAGGCTCCAATGTCTTGTTTTTCACGACAACCCATTGTTTTAACAAGTTTTATAGCCCCCACCTCCTAGGTTTAGAGACCTCTGGGTCAGATAATCAACGGACCAAGACACAAACAAGTTGTGACACGCGCATAAGAAAAACGGCATCCGAAAGTTGCTTTTTCCTCATTACAATACTAAATTTCCCACCCCTGGGTCGAGATTTTGTCAATGATACATGAGTTGAGGGTGCAACATACATGTATGTATGTAATTCAACTGCACACGTGCTAAGTGAAACCCTCCCTACTCATGCTAGGTGACCTAACAACTAATGAATAAACATTTTCACTCCCCGTAATGGGAGCTACCCCGATTCTCCTCGGGGCGACCCTCTCCTGAGCAGCCCACCGTGGTCTACCAAGGTGGTGTTTCCTCGCTTCTCTAATGACGTGCCCTGCTTGCTTGCACACTCCTTAAATCTGGGTGTTAAATTCCTTTGACACGTGAGGAAAAGTCCAGAGCACCCCGCTCTGGTGTCCGCCAGGGGCGGTATCCCGCAGCGCAGGTGCGAGGGTTCCACCCGGGGAAAAGTGCCCCTTAGACGCCTTTCCGACTTCAACACAGCCCCCTCCTCCCACGATGAAATTCTCACTGCGCTTTTTTGTCGGCACGCAGTGTCCTCATCTGTAAAATAAGGCCAAGTAATTCTGACTTCACAGGCTTAAATGAATACGGTTGATTACTGCGAGCACACAGGTCAGTGCACGCTCCGCAGAAAGGGCCCGGGAGACGGCGGTCCCTCCCGGGACTCTCAAACGCTCCGTGAGACGTTCAGTCCGCATCCGAGGGCGTCTCCGGTGTGCATGGTAAACGCCTGGCCCGGCATCAAGAGTCCCCTGAGGGCAGCAGGCTGGGCCGCGCGCGGGGCAGGGCCTCCGGGAGACGCTCTGGGCCGGAGCCGGGGAGCGGGAAGAACTACAACTCCCAGCCGCGGCGGCCGAGCTCAGGGCTCCGCTGCCATTTGCCGTCCCCGCCCCTTCCGCGCAGCCGTGAGGCTCCACCTCGAGAGGGCGTGCGTCCTTCCGTCTATTATCCTGAGCGTAGCCACGCCCCGGTCACCGCGAGGCCCCCGTGACGTCACGAGGCCGTAGGCGTCGCGCGCGGGGTGGGAGTTGACGGTCGGCCTCTGGCGGGTACCCGGCGGCCCCAGGGCCGCGGCAGAGGCTCCCGAAGGCGGCCGCGATGCCCGGCTCGCCGCGGGTCAGCCAGCTCCTGGATCTGTGAGTGCACCCGGTCCCCGCCTCCCCTCGCCCCGCCCCCGCCAGCGCCCGCCCCTCGCCGCCTCCGGGCCCCGGCGGAGGCCCGCTGTCGATTCTGTTCCCGGCCTCCCGATTTCCGCCTCCGCGTCGGGGACGGTTGTGCCCGACGGGCGGCTGGGCAGCCTCGCCCCTCCGTCCTCCGGGGGTCCCAGCCCTCAGCCTGGCGGCTCGGCGCCGCGCCGGTTCTGGCGTTGGCCTGTTTCTGGCGGCGCTGAGACCTTGGTAGCAGAAAACAAAACCCAAGGTGGGGCCGTGCGAAGCCCGCGGCCGAGTCCCACCCGGGCTCCGTCACCGGGGTCGATCCGATTCTCCGAGGCAGCCGGATCCCTGATGGCGGTTCCTGGGTTCAGCCCCAGCTCTGCCATCCGCCAGCTGAGCGACCACGGGAGAGTTACTGCACCTCTCTGCCGCGTTCTTGATCTATAAAGTCAGTGTGACCGCATCTGTCTCGTGGAGGTGCAGTGAGGAATAAAATTAACATGTAAAGTCCTTAGGATGCCTGGCTTCGAGGCCTCCCGATTTCCGCCTCCGCGTCGGGGACGGTTGTGCCCGACGGGCGGCTGGGCAGCCTCGCCCCTCCGTCCTCCGGGGGTCCCAGCCCTCAGCCTGGCGGCTCGGCGCCGCGCCGGTTCTGGCGTTGGCCTGTTTCTGGCGGCGCTGAGACCTTGGTAGCAGAAAACAAAACCCAAGGTGGGGCCGTGCGAAGCCCGCGGCCGAGTCCCACCCGGGCTCCGTCACCGGGGTCGATCCGATTCTCCGAGGCAGCCGGATCCCTGATGGCGGTTCCTGGGTTCAGCCCCCAGCTCTGCCATCCGCCAGCTGAGCGACCACGGGAGAGTTACTGCACCTCTCTGCCGCGTTCTTGATCTATAAAGTCAGTGTGACCGCATCTGTCTCGTGGAGGTGCAGTGAGGAATAAAATTAACATGTAAAGTCCTTAGGATGCCTGGCTTCGAAAGAAATTTCAGGGAGCTTTACTTGATGTAAATAATTCAACGTTATTGAAGCCAGGGGATTGGTTGGAAGTGATTGTCTTACATTATTTTAGAAAGATTTTATATCTTATTATGAGAAGCATTTGCATGATATAACCTGTTAGGTTTCACTATGTACGTGAAATAAACCAGACTTAAGTTTTGCTTATGTGGCCTAACTGGCTTGGTCTGCTTGGGGGATTTTCAAGCCTGGTCTCCATTTTATTTTATTTTTAAAATATCCCCCTTTTGTTCATTCTCTCAGGAGGCTCAAAGTGTGAAACAATATACTGTTATTCTCACTAATCATTGTTGATATTATTAACTTTAAAAATAAAAGTTATTTTCCCAGCAAAAATGGCTTTATTCTGGAATTGCAGAGAATTGCAATTCAGGACTTGCAAACTACAGCAAAACCTTAGGGCAAGTCCAACAAACAGGACAGCAATGTTATTTTATGAAGAAGAAAGGTTAGTTGGAAGGGGTTGCTTTGAATGAAACGAGTTTTGGAGAAAGGTGTTGAGAGTTCAGGCTGATGTGGTTTCCCACTGGCTGAATTGCAGGGGTGGTCCATTTCCTGTAGGAGGTGCAAAGTACATTCTTCCCTGTTGGGATCTGTAATTGAGGATTCCTTCCTGTTTAGGATTCCTCTGTTGGGATCTATAATTGACAGTCCTTGACAGTCCCGTAGAGCTGCCGCTTGTGGCTTTCCAACTCCACTTCAGGGGGGTTTCCCTTTGCTAATTTTCACAAGTAGGCCTTGGGCTAGATGGTCATGTAGTTGCTCTTCCATGACAACAGTTGCGTAGTCATTGTAGACGTTGGGCAGTAGGACCGTTGAGTTCGTTGAGCTGTCTAGTCCTCATGGACATCATTTTATGAGTGAGTGGCTGCCCAAAGGCATTTAAAACTCTTGAAAAGATATGACGACTATGAGGAAAATAATAAGGGTTGAAAAATTCTTGAGAGCAGAGATTCCCAGAGGCTAAGATTTAACCAACTCACTCAGTCAATAGAAGGAGCATTGCCTATTTGATGAAAGATTGGCATCTGTTTTTTAAGATCTTTTAAATTTCGGGTAACAATTCCTGATTTATTAACGTTGAAACAACTTTTTTTTTTTTTTTTTTTGCCAGTTTCAGCATGTGCATTTTCTTGTCAGGCAGTTAGGGTGTCTTAGGCTAATGTAACACTGACTAGTTTATAGATTTTTACTGTAATGGTTGAAATTCTGCAGGTTTCTCCTAAGGCAGTTTCAATGCAGTATATTGTTGGCATCTTTTCTAATATATGGAGCACATTGTCTTCTTTTGGAAGTGAGTCACCGAAAGCTTTTTGGATCTGACAGAAAATACGCCTTTCAGTATTGCATTAGTGCCTTATGGTACTGAATCATGTCATGATTATTTAAGATAAACATGAGGCTGTCTCATTTCAAGAGGCAGTGCTACAGGTGAGCTTCCAGTCTAAGTTAGGCCTCTAAGTGGTATGAGCAATCAGGCCTTTCACAACAGGTATTTTTATGAAAACAAAAGAAAAACAAAGATTTGTAGTTGGAGCAAAGTATAAACTCAGTTTCTGAGTCTGGAGAGAGTTAAGGAAATTTCAAGATTTGAGCTCAAAGCATCTTTAGGTAATGGAGTGAGAATTGCAGTTTTAACGTGATGTATCTTCCAGATTTGCAGTTTGAATGTCACTGATGATGTCATCATTCGTTTGGTGAACTCTGGGTAGCCGGTACAGAAGAAAGCATGAAAGTTGTGATGATCTGTAGCGTTAATTTCTCTGAAGTTCATATCAAATTGTTCAGCTTCGGCTTGTAGAGCTTGGGAAAAAGGGCAGTTTTATTTCTTACTCTCTAATCACAAGGGTGGGAGAAAACTGGAAATGTTAGTTTGGAGGGTCAGAACCAGATATTGGAGGAAATTAGAAGAATTCACAGTATTCAGTCCGATTTACAGAGAGATAACTGCCAGGAACGTCCAGCAATCCCTGAGACGTTGGATGAAAGATTACTCCACACTTTACTGCAAGAGAGGAGAAGGCGAGGGGGTCAACCCTCAGAGCGAAGACCCTTTTCCTCAGCTTGCTCTCAGATTTATTTTGTGCATACTAACCTTTACATCTTGATTAAAATACCACAGGTGCAGATCACAAGAGTGCAGAAAGCCACAGGATACAATCAGTCTTAAATCTTTCATACATTCAAAGACTTCATGTGTTGATTATTATCAAGGACACAAAGCAGAGCTCTGCGTATGCTACAGTGCTTGGTTAAACTAGAACTATACTATACAAAAGCAACATTTGTGAAAAACACCCTCAGGCTCATGGGAAGCACTGGAGCAGGCGACTCTCAGGCATTCCAATGATAAAATCTTTACGCAGACCTGGCATTCCAGGGATCCACCCGCCTCCAGTAGTCCCATGATGCCCTCTGGAAATCTCTATCTGTGTCTTAGCAAGCCACGCATTGTAAATAGCCCCATCATCAACATTTCCATTCCCCACAGGTAACAAAACCTCAAAGCCAATGAACCGGACTGGAATCTGATAACTGGTACACTATAGTTTTCTATTGAAACAATTTTTCTCTCTATAATCACCCCATTTTTACCAAAGATGACCACAATAAGACTAACTTGTTTGTAAAATATGCCTAGTCTCATTAAACTCAGCTTATTATTTATATAGGTGTAACAAGAATAGTGATTGTATGCATATTTTCAAATGTGATATTCCAGTGAAAGTCTTGGTAATCCAAGGGACTTTATTTGCTCCAAAAGCCAACCTTAGTTCTTCAAAACTGTCTAGTAATAAGAAACGTGATTCAATCCTTAAAAGCCTCTTGAGGCTAAGAAGCCCAGCCAAGGGCTTTTCTAAGGGCATGTCCTATTATAACAAGAACAGATTTTTAGTGAATTTATGCAAATACCTATGCTGCCATGAAAATAAGAATACTCAATAAGAATTTTTTAATTCTGAAGGGATCAGACAGGGAGGAAAAAAATGTTTAATTTTTGCTTATAAAGTTTAAATTTGGAAAGCAAACATTAAAGAACCAAGAATATTTCAAACAAAATCATAAAAATGAAAATTGTTTCCATTTGTTCATTTATGAATCAGTGTAGTCCTATGTAATCAATTCTTGTTTCCTTGCTCTTGGGTTAACAGTTTTATGAGTTAATCAGTTTCTCCATTAGTGTTCTAGAAATTCTTACCCAGTTAAAAGATAAGATCTTAAAGTTATCAAAAACCTGTATTCTAGAGTGCTTGTCAGTGTCTTTTTAATGAACCTCCATGAAGACAGAGCATTTTGGCCTATAGTTGATTGTAAGTCAGAGAGGAATTTAGAGTAAAATACTGGCTGTGAATGACAAAAGACTTATAAAAATATCCATAGTTAAGGATCTGATAAGAGTTCACTATAAAAAAGATGTAATTGATAGGTAAACTTGGTTATTTCTGTGGTATACAACATTTAGGACTGATACTGTCTCAGAACATATCAGAGTTCTAGGAATTTCATGCAATTTCTAGAATACATATTAATAACCTAACCATATAAATAAATATATATAAATTCATATATCTTAAGAAGGTTAAGCATCATCTTTACTAGATGATATCTCCCATGCAATTTAACACATTTTAAAAAATCTATTCACTTTATTATCTCCCTTTTTATAAGGAGAGGAAAGAAAGTCTTATGGGATCTTCAGGACCCTCTGGAAAATACCAAAGTTAGTTCAAGGTCAAAAAAACTTCATTTAGAATTTGGGGAAGTTTGTCAAAAGGGTTAAAACACTTGCCCAAATAGGATCACAGGTCATTGTGACATTATACTTAAGTTATTTATTCAACTAAAGTGACAGAGGATTTCAAAAGCAAATATAGAAAGTTAAACAGTTGTAAAAAATAACTTAGCTCTTTTAATATTGAAAAGACTCAGTTTATATCTAATAAAGACAATGTGAAACAGGGTATTATCTTGATTAGACACAGAATCCTTTGTTTTCTAGACAGATTACACAAAAGGTAAAGAAAAACCTTTATAACCTTTTATTAAGAGCAGATCAATAATCCAAGAAACCCCTCAACAGAGAAAATTAAACTATAATTTTATATTAATGTATCATTAAGCTCATTTTTTAAAATGCTTCTAAATCCATTTAATTTTAGCTAAACTTTGACCCTACAACATGGAATTTCTTCACAAGCCTGTAACTTTCTATAGATTTTTAATTTTTGTCATACTTGTTCTTGTTATTCTGAAATAATAACCAGTCACTTTACTTCAGGACAAAATTATTCTTTTTTCTTATCAAAAACACATCCTATATTTCAAAAACACATCCTATATTTCTTGCATACTTTTCACATTAAAAAAAATCCCATTATCTTCTCATACTTTATATATGGTTGTTTTCTTTCACTCTTGTTTCCAGGAGATTTAACATTTTTATTAAAGATTTTAACCATTAGTAATCTTTATTTTCCAGTGAAAATTATGAAGCAGGCAATTGTGAACTTCCTGGCATGTATACATAATTATAAAAACTTACATTTCTTAGAGATGTGCTTTTTCATAGTACTTTTTTTAATATGGCAAAAAACATGTTTGCTGATACATCCAATTATATTTTGTCTTTTTGTAAAAATTAAGCCAAAAGTAGATAAACTAAGGTTTAGCAATGAATATTTCAGTGTATTATCTTATTTGGAAATGATCTCCATATTTAATGAATATCCATCATATAATTTAACTTAGTATAAACTTTCATCTTATATATACTTAATTTACTTATTTTTAATAATTATGTTTGGATTAAACATTAAATAGCTAACCATCTTAAGTTATTTTTCTTGCTGACCAGGTTTGTAACGTAAAGATAGTATG